TTGAAAAAAATTTCGCTTACGTTATTTTGGCGGTTAGGGCTCGATATGCTGTTTGTCTTTTAAATTTAAGTTAATTAAGTTTTTGAAACATGTGGCAACCCTCTCAAAAAATATTTTCCAAATTAAGCTTTCTCAAACCTCATTTGACTGATATCCAAATTGTAATACATCATTTATTTGATAAATGTCTTTAATCGAATTTTTCGAAATAGGTGGCAACTTTCCTTTTTTAATGATTTAAATCACCCGAAAATGTCCACAACTGGCGACGCAAAGTGCTTAAAAAGTCAAGTAACTGTCGATGATAAATGTGGCAGAGGTTTGACTGAAACTACCTCAAACCCTGATGACCGGCCATTACCAATTTATTTAAAAATAATAATCCTACTCTTAGCCTAAGGCAAGCAAAATAAAAGCTTTCGTCAAAAAAAAAAAACCATTTCCATTTGTCCAATTGAAAGAATTCTGACACCAAAAATGGACGAAAGAAAATTTCGTTGTTTGGAATTACTGGAAGAAAGCTTCGACTGGTAAAAGCACTAAATTTGTTCAGCCGTCTGTTAAACACCCGGCTTAGGCCCATGTTTACGGATGTTTTTCTGAAAAATTATCCGGTACTTTGACCGTCTTTACACATAACCTCCACGCCAAGTTTATGATCCAACTACTCATATCAAAAATGTTTTCTAAATTGGGCGGCAAACTTTATAGACCGATTACAAGTGATTGGATCCTTCAAGAATACAATGACCCAAACACCGGAGTCAGATATGCAAATATTGGAAACCAGAAAGAGGCATAGAACAGCTAAATTGGCCTTCGCAGAGTGCAAATCCAATTGGAAATGTGTAGGCTCTTATGAAATTGAAGATTCGAGAAAAGAGAATGTCTAGAAAAAAACAAGTTTCTACGACGCTAAAAAAATTAGGATGGTTCTGTATCTAGATTATGCTTGAAAACTAAGCGCAATATGCTCAAGACGATGTAAAGCTATTAGGCATTGAAATACCTACATACATATGTAACAAAAATGCAGTGGTAAATATTTTGCAATTATTTTACTGTTGACAACAGTCGTTGCTTGAGCAGAGTGAATAGCTATAATATTTCGCTTTTACTACAAGTGAGCGGCCACATGGGTAATTTACAATGAAAATAATAGGAGAGGGACTTCTTCTGGAATTCTGTTGTGCATACGAAAATCTGAGCTTGCCACAAGCCGCATCCAGGCGAGATTTTTATATAAATCTGAGGAGCTCTTATCACGTATCTATGATGGCATAAATATCATGCTTTACGACTTTAATGCCTGGGTGGGCTAAGAAGACCTTCCTGGTTGAACACTCAGAAAACTCAGCCTGTGTGACAAAAACTTTCCGTTCGCCGAAGCATGAGAGCGGATATTCAGAGTCACCAGGAGCACAAATCAATACATCTATCAGATTTCTCATATCCTACGTACCAGCGCTGAGAAGAGAGACGATGCATATACTATAGCCTCCCAGCGGCGCATTGCTGAATGGGGTCCCAGTATGTAAAGGACGCTAACCACAAAGCGGTCATACTTATAGATGGGTTGTAATCGATTGACTCCGGCATACTGCCCACGGTGTGATGATTACTTCGGGTCCTTCAGCAATGCGCCGCTGGGCTGCCATAGGACGCAACGCGAGCTGTGGAAGAACGTTATCTAGAGTTGAAAATATGGTCTGACGAAAGCATGGTATCAATGCAAGCCAAATATTGGAAAGGACATGAGAGAGAAGGTGTTGTCAACCATCAATACGACTATGTAAAATTACTTTCAGCAGCACCACCAGCTTCGTCACAATTGGGAAAGACCTAACGTATGCCGATGACATCTACATTTCCGGTGTCAATAAACTTGACGACTGTCAAGCGCGTGGCTCTGGTGATAAGTGAGGAAAAATCGGAATATATCCTGTAATCAAATAAGCGCACAGCGCATACTAGGCAAACACGTTGCCTTTTTACGCATGAGATTTCGACAAATTCAATTCTGCTTTGTTTCACAAGGCAATATTGCCGATCCAAATTTTCATCGAATTTTGAGGAGACGCAATAAATCTCAGAGGTTGTGCCGACAAAAATACGATTTCATGCCAGTTCATCCCCTGCGATTTGTACACACAAGGCCTTTTGATAAATTTATCACTCATTGGTTATTGGGAACGAATTTTTTTGCAAAATTCGAGTACAACTTGTATAAACCTTTTAATAATAATTACATACGTTTTATATAGTATTTAGTTATGTACAATGTACATGTTTGAATTATGCAGACTTATTCACACTCGCTTAAGATTAATCATCTCAAATCTTGAGTGTATTTCTTATTTATTCACAAATTTTTCGCTTAATTACTTTTTGAAGTGCGCTGATTTTAGTATCACTACCACTCTAAATTGTTAAATAAAAATTTGTAATTTTCCGGCTTCATCAACTTAACACGTTGACCGCATTGTTTATCCAGTACACCTACAATTTTGCCCGCAACAACTGTAATTTTATTGGGCGAGCAAAAGGCAACATTTAACGAATTCAGTGGCTGAAAGTCCTCCCCTTCCTGAAATATATGTATATAAAGGTGTGCAGAGCAGTTGACTGGAGCACCTTGACTGCTGGACACTTTCAGCTGCAAGTCAAAGATTACATTTTCATTTACTTTGCACTTTGATGGCACCAAAATAAATAAACACACAGGCACACACACACAAACACAAGCCCTCACATGCATACGAAAGTATTCAATCATACAACTTTCACACAAATATTGACAGTGAAGCAAATACACATCACACCAGGCAGAATTGCAGGAGCTTTTGTATGTAATATACATACATACATATGTATATATGTATGTAGATATTTATCTGGGCAACAATAGTTTCATTTAG